GATGTGATATATAAGTGGAAATTAATCTTGGTTATGAGGATGTGACGAACAGAATTTAAAAATAGCTAAATAGCCGCTCTGAGAGTGCGGGTGGCTCTATCCTCTTCGCTTTGCACCTTATCGTAATGCAGGTGCATATGCGCAAAATGAGTAGAGCTTATTATTACGATTAGTATTAATTAAGAAGCGATAAAGTAAAGAGCTACAAAAAATAATATTTTTTTATTTAATTTATACAAATACTAGAATTTGTAGTCGTCACTTCCATAAGCGATGGATTGGAAAAACTCGTTTAAAACATGCGGCTATACCCACTCTCTTTCTTGGTAAGAATATTTATTAAAAATAAGCGCATTTTAAATAACTTTAAGTCAACCTAGACGATGAAAATGTAGAAATGAATCCGAGTTCTTTACAGATTGAAAAGTACGATGTACCTGGTTGCAACATTATTCGGTCAAACACGTCATTGTTATATTTTCCTACTCATGAGCATTACCGTCAGCACTAGAGAGATGGTTGCGGAATAGTAAGTCAGAAGCGGAAGTTGTTAATTTGTAGAAATAATTTTTAGACTAATGAAGTTGGTAAGAGAAAACTTATTGGAAAACCCACACTCTCAAGAAATCTACCCTCGGTTATAAGTACGAAAATATGAGAAGAGCAACAGGAACGAACGTATGCGAATCACCAAATACAAGAAGATATGACTTTGAAGGAGTTTGAGACATTATCTGACATCTGTTATGCCGAAGAAACTGTAAGGGAACAGGAAAATGTTGAACAATGTGGGAATGAGGATGAAATTAGTTCTTGCTTTGGAAACTGTAAAAGAGAAATTTCATGCAATAATAAGAAGTATCTCAAAGTAATTGCTAGTTTGAACAAAAAAATCGCATCTTTGCACAAATCAAAAAAAATACTACAAGGATGAAAATGAAAAACTAAGAAAGCTACGTATTTTACCAGCAGAAAACGCTAGTCAAGAAGCTTTAACTTTTGCTAAAATGATTGTCAGGAAACGACACATTTATAATAAAGAAGAAAAATATTTAGCTCAAAATATTGAATATGTTTCCGCTTCTTTATATAAATTTATGTGAGACTAATTAAAATTCAATGGTGCTATGCGTCGAGTTCAGTGATTGTTCCAATATGGAAGAGTACGTAAACAAGATGACTAGTACACACCAAAAATTAACTAAATCAGGCACAAATATACCTGATGACATACAGTGGCTCACAGCTTATTTCGTGCAATCAATATTTTTGTAGATTTAGTCGTGAAAATCCAAAATTTTGTTCAAAATAAAGAATTTTAAATATGCAACTTTAAAGAATGTTTAGCAGGCATGTGATAGTATTGGGGTGTAAATCAGCGGCAGGAGTAGGTAATCTACAATTTATAGAATCAACAATGGATAAAGAAGTGTATCTTAATATTTTAAAGCAAAATTTGCATAAAAGTGCCGAATATTTAGGCATAATTAACAATTTCTGTTTTTACCAGGATAACGATCTGAAGCACAAGTCGGGTCTTGTGCAGACTTGGCTTGTTCGGAATTGTCCACACATCATCCAAACACTTCCCCAATAACCTGACTTTAATGTCATAGCAAATTTATGGCATATTCTGGAAACTAACATAAGAAAACATAACATTTATAGCAGTATGAAAGCTGCTTTAGAATTGGAATGGCAAAAAATATCAGTGGAATATACTCAAAAATTAATTATTTCAATGCGTTCAAGGTTGGAGGCAGTAATTAAACAAACGGACTATCCCACTGAATACTAAAATTCACTTTTTTATGCCAAAAATGATTAATTTTCTAAAAACAAATGTATTGCACGAAGTAAGCTGTGAGGTCAGAATTTGGTGTATGTTTGTTTTTGTTCACTTAACTTATTGAATATTGATATTTTTGCTAAATTTTTTTTTTGTTTTATAATAAAAACTAAACATTCTTTAAAGTTGCATATTTAAAATTCTGCACATTTTAAAATGTGCAGATGATATTCACACAAATTTCGGTGAAAACATAAATGGTACTTTTGTGCTAAAAGATGTGCAATGCATACCAAACATATGTGCCAACTTATTGTCTGTAAGTCAAATGACTAAATATGGAAAAACGATCATATTTAACAAAGAAAATTGTCGCATATTTGATGAAAATAACAAATTAGTGCTTACTGCACCAAATGTTGATGGTTTATACAAAATAGATGGTGCAATAGCAAAAGATAAGTCGGCATTATTAGTGACCACAGATCCAGAATTATGGCATCTGTTGGGTAACAATACAAAATAACATAAAATATATAATGTTCATAAATAACGAAAATTTTTGTATTATTGGCAACCCTGTTGCACAATGTAAGTTATTACAATAAAAACGATCAGTCTTGATCAAACTCGAATTAAAAAACAACGTGTTTTTTTGTCGTCTCTTTTTCGGTTTTAGTTTTACTAAGAAAAATTCTTCTTGGTACATTTTTTGGCGCCCAACGTGGGGCACGATAGATACTTGACAAAGTATAATTTAGACATTTGAAAGTGATATATTTAATATATATTAAATATATAATATATGTTGTATATTTAATAATAAAAACTTGAACAGTCTCATTTTCGGGCCGTCGTCGCCGTTTTGTTGCTTTGTAGCTGCCGTTCGTTTTACGGTTCTTGTATCATTTTCAGACCGTCGTTGCCGTTTTGTTGCATTGTTACTGCCGTTTGTTCTACGGTTCTTGTGCTCCATATAATTATATTTAAATTAAATCTCGTGTTTAATTCAAGGCCATCGTCGCCGACTCGCTTTATAGTTTGTTGCCGTTTGTTTTACGGTTCTTTGCAGTTAGTCTGTCGCTGCTTGCTGCATTTGTTTGGAGTTCTTATATTGTTGCTGCTACTGCGATCATCGTCAATTTTCAGTGCTGTCGCTGCATGCAGAATTTACGTCGACTCTATTGCTGTTGCTGTTTATCATTTACTTAACGAGTTGTTGCTGTATTTGGTGCATTTATTTTGTACATTATATTTTTACATCACAATGGCAGAAAAATTAAAGCAGCAAAGAGCCAACACTAAAAAAAGCATGACACCAATTAAGAATTATATTGAATCCGCAAGGAATGAGGGAAATGTACTTCCACATGCTGAACTAAAATGTCGCTTAGCGTTATTAGAGGCTTACTTCAAACAGATATTGACCACGCAATCGAGCATCGAGGCCTTAAATCCAGAAGATAATTGCCGATCAGATTTGGAGGAGCTTTACATCAATGCAAAGGTGGCTATTCAATCGCAGTTGGGATACGAGTTCCACAATATGTCAATATCTGATGGTAACATCACCATCCACCAATCAACATCGAAACTACCACCGTTACAACTACCTTCATTCAATGGTAAATATTCGGAATTCAAGAATTTTATAACGACATTTTCCCAAATTATTGATCGAGAATCAACTTTATCTAATCTGGAAAAATTTAACTATTTGCTGACTTGTCTGCATGTCCCAGCGTTAGAAACGGTTAACGCGTTTCAAGTCACAAATGAAAATTATTCAAAGGCTTTAAATAGATTGAAGGATAGGTACGACAATCCAACACTCATTTTTATGGAAAACGTATCAGCCCTTTTCGATCTTCCTGGTACTTCCAAACCGGAAGGTGATAAACTGCGAAGTTTAATCGATACTGCGTCAGCAATTTATAGTTCACTGCTATCATTGGGTTCGGAACGTGACATTGCACAAGCAATGTTGATTCATATTGTGATGCAAAAGTGTGACGAAGGGACGAGAAGAAAGTGGAAGGAATCGTTGGATTTCAAAAGGTTGCCATGTTGGAACGATTGTAGTCCCGTTTTAGAGAGACATTGTCAATATCTTCAATCTCTGGATAAAACGTCTCCTTGTGTATCAGATGTGCACACCAATGATAAATTGACAAAAATAAAAAAATCTCACAAAGATTATGCTTTTTCTTGCACTAAATCTTCTTGTATATTTTGTTCAAGTGCGAATCACAAGCTCAATGGCTGTGAACGGTTTAAAAGTTTATCAACTGCACAACGTTTTGACACTGTAAAGCGATTCACACTGTGCATCAATTGTTTATCAAAAGGACATCAACGTTCTAACTGTCCATCAACTTATAGATGTAAGATTTGTTCAGATCAACATCACACCTTGTTACATCGTAGCAACACCTTCAATGCTACAACACCTTTCAACTCAGTTCATCCTACTCCACAGTCATCAATGGTGTCAGCTGTAGCTACTACTTCTAGAGATGCTGTGACGCATACACATTTAGAGAAGTCATCGACAAGTAATGTCATCTTAGCTACAGCGCTAGTTCTAATACAGGATGCATCTGGATGCTATCAATTGGGTAGGGCTTTACTAGATTCGTGTTCACAGGTGAACTTCATCACTAATGATTTCGCTCAAAAACTTCGCATACCTATGGCCAAGCATAATATTGAAATTAACAGCATCGGAAATTCATCGACAAGAATTACATCAAAGGTATCAACTACTATCAAATCTCGATTCACGGCAGAGTGCAGATGCAGGCAGAGTTATGGTAAGGTTGCCATTTAAGGATAATCCTCAGTGTTTAGGCAGTTCATACGGTACAGCGTTGCGCAGATTTATTGCACAAGAAAATCGATTGTCACGGTCGCCTGAGATCAAAACGCAATATGTTGCCTTTATGGAAGAATATCAAAAACTTGGTCACATGATTGAGGTAAAAGATCCAAATATTGATGAACCTCATTATTACATTCCGCATCATTGCGTATTGAAGCCAACCAGCACCTCGACGAAATTAAGAGTCGTATTCGACGCATCATGTCGAACCTCTTCTCAGAAATCTCTCAATGATATTTTGATGATTGGACCTACTCTTCAAACTGAATTGTTCATCCTCTTGTTACGTTTTCGCTTATTTCGATTCGCTTTACTGCTGACATAGTGAAGATGTATAGGCAAATTCTGATTGATCCTGAAGATAGAAAATTTCAGTACATTCTTTGGAGAAGTTCACCATCTACCAATATTCGTACTTTCCAGCTCAACACAGTTACATATGGAACAGCTGCTGCACCGTACCTTGCCATTCGTTGCCTATTGTATATAGCGCATCAATATGTGGATCAATTCAAGATTGCAGCTGAAGTAATCAAATCTTCGTTTTATGTTGATGACTTATTGCATGGTGCAGATTCTCTTTCTGAGTTACATCAAATAAGATACGCATTGGAAGAGCTTCTAAAACAGGGAGGTTTCGAATTAGCTAAATGGCACTCAAATTATCAAGCTTTTAGAGATGACACTACTGTCAAAGAACTCAATATAGGTTCGGATGTTATTACCAGCACATTGGGACTGAAATGGGATCAAGATAATGATGTATATATTCCTTCATTTAATGTTAAACTAAACTCTATCAGTCGCATCACAAAAAAAACTATTTTATCAATTGCGTCGTCACTATTCGACCCATTAGGACTATTAGCTCCAATAACCATATCAACTAAAATATTATTGCAAGAGCTATGGCTGCTTAAATTGGATTGGGACGAATCCATTCCTCAAAATTTACATTCAGCATGGGAAAGGCTTTGTCACGATTTGTCATCATTGAACACCATTACCATTCCAAGGTACTGTCTAAAACCAAAACCAAAAACAATTCAGCTCCATGGGTTCTGCGATGCATCGATTCGCGCATATGGTTGCAGCATTTACATTCACATCACAGATGATTCCAACCTCATAGAGTTTCAACTATTCGTAGCCAAATTTAGAGTAGCTCCGCTAAAAAAACAATCGCTTCCAAAATTAGAACTTTGTGGAGCACTGCTACTTGCAAGACTTTACAACAAAATTAAATCGCTCTTCGAAAAGTTTGATACGGACGTCTATCTATGGTCTGATTTCCAAATCGTATTACATTGGCTCAAAATGCATTCGGCCACACTGTCTGCCTTCGTAGGCAATAGAGTTTCTGAGATTCAAGACCTCACCGCAGGTTCACATTGGAGATATGTCCACACAAATTGTAATCCAGCAGACATTGTGTCAAGAGGCAGCACTGTTAAGGATCTCACTAATTCTATTTGGTTTAAAGGACCTTCATTTCTTCGTCAAGAGATGTATAAGTGGCCTGCAAACAAGAACGACAACTTGGATTTTGAAGAAGTCAATAAGGAAAAACGAAAAGCAGCATTCAAGGTAACTGTATCAACCAATTATGTCATAGATATTATTGATAAGTATAGCTCACATACAACGGCTGTTCGTGTACTGGCTTGGCTGTTTCGTTGGTATCATCATTATAAGAAGAAGTTCAACCGCAATGTCTTTACAGAAGTCCTTACTCATAAAAAATTAGACCACGCCTTCCGATGCATCATTTCAAATATACATGCTCAGTACTTTGCTGAAGATATTTATTTATTGAATCGAGGATCTATAACAAAAGGTTCATTAAAATAACTCAACCCATTTATTGAAGATACCGGTGGGTATAAGCTGATAAAGGTTGGTGGACGATTAGAATTGGCTGATTGCAAAAGAATGTAAACATCCTATCCTGCTGCCTAGCAAATCTGAATTCGTCATACGTTATGTTCGTTACTTGCATCGTAAGAATTATCATGCTGGACCTAAGGCACTAGTGGCACTCATTCGTTTAGAGTTTTGGATTATGAACGCCAGAGAGGTTGCTCGAAGAGTAGTCAGACAATGTGTTCACTGCGTGCATTATAAGCCAAAACTATTGCAACAGATGATGGGCAATTTACCGGTAGAACGTCTCACACCGTCACGGCCGTTTGCTCACTGTGGTATAGATTTTTGTGGACCATTCAACACGTATTTACGTATAAGAGGGAAACTTATACAAAACTTATATCGCCATTTTTATTTGTATGGCAACAAAAGCATGTATGGCAACATCGAAGTTGTATCAAGTTTGTCAACAAACGCGTTCATTGCAGCATTAAAAAGAATGATTGGCAGGAGAGGCTTACCAAGCGATATATTTTGCGATAACGCAACCAATTTTGTTGGGGCTTCAAATCAATTGACAGAACTAGTCATTCTTGTTTAATAAAATACACCAATCGTCTATCATTCAGTACTGCGCGTCTGAATTCATTAATTTTCACTTTATTCTGCCCATTTTTTGATTGGGTGCTCTCTAAAGGCGTTACCAGAGCGGACGGAATTTGCTAATACTAACATGCTCGACAAGTGGTCCCTCATCATCGGTTTGAAACAATCATTTTGGAAGCGGTGGTCTCATGAATACATAAATGAGCTACAGACGCGCACAAAATGGACCTGTGAAATACCAAATATCATGCCCAATGCAATGGTGTTAATTCATGAAGACAATGTGCCTCCACTACATTGGCAACTCGGAAGAGTTCTGAAGGTCATACCAGGCAAGGACGAGCATGTCAGAGTAGTTGACGTACGTACCTCAAAGGGCATCATTCGCAGACCCATCCACAAACTAGCCATTTTACCTATTGAAAGTCCTTTCAAGGAGGCCGGGATGTTGAGTAACAATACAAAATAACATAAAATATATAATGTTCATAAATAACGAAAGTTTTTGTATTATTGGCAACCCTGTTGCACAATGTAAGTTATTACAATAAAAACGATCAGTCTTGATCAAACTCGAATTAAAAAACAACGTGTTTTTTTGTCGTCTCTTTTTCGGTTTTAGTTTTACTAAGAAAAATTCTTCTTGGTACAGCATCGTTATGGGACATACTTGTAAAACAAATTTAGAACGTATAAAAAATTCTACCACTGGCGTAAATTTTTCAAATAAAGCATTTGCCAAATGTACTGTTTGTGTAAAAGGAAAAAAAACTCGTGCATCTTTTAAAAGCACTGGAACTCGTGCTTCTGAATGTTTACAGCTGATTCCCACTGACGTTTGTGGTCCGTTGCCAACACAATCATTTGGAGGTGCGCGTTTTATTCCAACTTTTGTTGATGACTTCAGTAGGAAGGTGTTTGTGTATCCAATAAAGAAAAAGAGCGATGTTTTCAACAATTTAATAAATTTTAAAAATCTTGTGGAAAATCAGCAGAATGGTAAAATAAAAACATTACGATCTGATAATGGTAAAGAATACTGCAATCACCAATTTAATTCTTTTTTTTGCTAATCGTGGAATCGTACATCAATGCACAGCCCCATATACACCTGAGCAGAATGGCGTTGCAGAACGTATGAATCGTTCATTGCCGGAAAAAGCTCGATGTATGTTGATAGACACAAATCTGCAAAAACATGTGGCAGCACCAAAAAATATAATAAAAAGAACTGTCAACAAGGCACAAAGGAGACAACAATAGCCGCAGTTCCCGCCAGTAGTAGTTTGGAAAAAGACAAAGCAGCACGTGAATAAAACGAAAAAACACAAATTTTAACTTTAAGAATATTTTATAATAACTAAGTATGAGAAATAAATAAACTTATCCATTACCAATACGGAGTGTTAAATTCGAAATAAAACCCCAACATAAAAAACCACTACATTGGTGACCAAGCCGACGTCGAATATATAAAAAAAAAATGGCTACTCAAGAGCAAAAGATAACCGAAGACACTAACCCAATCAATGAAAACGCAACAATCACTGCAATAAAGCTGCCGATGCCAACATTAATAAAAAACAACATTGACCTTTGGTTTATTCAGTTGGACTACTGGTTCCAAGTCAACAACATAAAGGGCGATACTCAAAAGTTTGGCACAGTTATCGCAGCATTGGATGGATCGCTGTTAGAACAAATTTATAACACAATACAGAATCCACCAGCAACTCAGAAGTACGAAGCTATCAAGCAAGCAATAATAAAAAACTTTGCGGATAGTGAACAAAAACGCATACAAAAATTAGTTAGTGGTTTACAGCTTGGGGATAAAAAGCCATCCCATCTTTTAAGCGAATTGCAACGTATTAGTGGAAGCAAACAAGACGAACAATTACTGAAAGGGTTATGGTTACAACGTCTTCCTGTAGAAGTACAGACATGTCTAGCCACAATTCAAGTGGAACTACCTAAGATGGCGGAATTGGCAGACAACATAACCGAAACAATCCGTATAAACTCAACAATGCAAGGAACTTACGTCAATGCAGCTAACGTCCCTGCAGCAGCTCATATTCAACGTGATGCACAAATCGAACAACTTCAACGAGAAGTGACCAGACTGACGAAAATGGTCTCGAAATTATCAACCGAACACCGCTCAAGAACAAATCAACGTTCACGTTCAACATCCAGAAACCGGCAATGTCATGATGATAGTGAAGAAAAGACCAGTACAAATTGTTGGTATCATAGAACATATGGGTCAAATGCAAAAAATTGCAAGCAGCCATGCACATATGGCACAAAAAACTAAAACCGACTTCGTCTACGGCGGCAGAGGAAGTTGTAAACGAAACATCTACAAGACTGTTCGTCTATGACAATAAGACAAAAAAATCATTCCTAATAGACACGGGTGCAGATGTTTCACTTATTGCCGCCAAACAAAAAAATTCAAATACAAACAATAAGAACGAAAGAATACTCTACGCAGCAAATGGTTCTATGATCAAAACATTTGGAGAAATAGAGATAACTCTAGCTCTTGGCTTACGAAGAAATTTCACATGGCCATTTATTATCGCAGATGTAAACACTTCAATCATCGGTGCAGATTTTTTAAATCATTTCGGATTAATAGTAGACATAAAAATGAAACGATTGATCGACACATCAACAAAGATTTTCTCAGCCGCAAGTGAACGTAAGGTAAATGCGCAAAAAAATATCAACTGTGAACACATCTTGCAAAATTGCAGATCTACTAAAAGAATACATCGACATCACTAAACCAACACCGACAAATCGCCAGGTGACAAAAGTCACTCACCACATATTAACAAAAGGTCCACCAATATGTGAGAGACCACGTAGGTTACCTCCAGACAAGCTAGCAGCAGCAAAAGAAGAATTCCAAAACTTAGTCACAGCCGGAATATGCCGTCCATCAAGCAGCAATTGGGCTAGCCCCTTACATATGGTAAAAAAACCAGACGGTAGTTGGAGACCTTGCGGAGATTACCGTCGCTTAAATGCAATCACCATCCCAGATCGTTACCCAGTTCCTCACATACATGATTTTGCACACATGTTATATAACCAAAAAGTTTTTTCAACCATCGACCTGATTAAGGCATATCACCAGATACCAGTTGAACCGGGGGATATTCCAAAAACGGCGATCATAACTCCATTTGGATTATTTGAATTTACTAACATGACATTCGGACTTTGCAATGCAGGTCAAACATTTCAACGCTTCATTCACGAAGTATTACGAGATCTCGAATTTGCCTTTGCCTATATTGACGACGTCATTATTGCATCAGCAAACGAGGAAGAGCACAGGCAACACTTGCAACAAGTATTCGAACGATTCAGAAAACATGGTTTAATAATAAACGTATCAAAATGCGTTTTTGCTCAAAACACAGTAAAATTTCTTGGTTATCTCATCAGTGAAAAGGGCATTCAACCTCTACCAGATCGAGTGAAGAGCATCAGCGAGTACCCGCTTCCAACAAAAACAAAAGAATTAAGAAGATTTCTAGCATTACTTAACTTTTATCGCAGGTTCGTACCAAACGCTGTAGATTCTCAAACTGCACTTCAACAAATGATAAAAGGAAACAAGAAGAACGACAACACACCGTTATGCTGGACCGAAGTGAACAAAACAATCTTCCAAAAATGTAAAGATGAACTAACAAACTCGACACTACTTGTTCATCCGTCAAAAACTGCTACGCTTGCATTACAAGTAGACGCCTCGGATAAAGCTCTCGGCGCAGTTCTTCATCAAGTGACAGACAGCACGTTCCAACCACTCGGTTTTTTCTCTAAACGATTAACAGATACACAAAAACGATACAGCACATACGATCGTGAGTTGTTAGCCGCATATCAGGGCATAAAACATTTTCGACATATGTTAGAAGGTCGTGAATTCGTATTAATAACTGACCACAAGCCACTCACGTTCGCATTCCAGCAAAAGTCCGACAAGGCTTCACCACGTCAAGTCCGTCAGCTTGATTATATAGGTCAATTTACAACGAATATCGTTCATGTCAGCGGAAAAGACAACATCCCAGCAGATTTTCTCTCGCGGATAGATAGTATTAGCATCCCAAAAATCGACTACGATTGTATAATTGGATTACAACGATGTTGCCCACAACTACAAGATATCAAAAACAACAATTCCATCGAAATCAAACTTTTATCTTTACCAACAATATCAGATAAAATTTATTGCGAAGTTTCAACTGGGCGAATTCGTCCTTACATTCCGCAGAAATACCGGCTACATATCTTTAAAGCTACGCATGGGTTGTCTCATCCCAGCATTCGGGGCACAACAAAAATGATAG